GGTCAAAGAATTCCGAACCCGCCAAATCCAGTCCCTGCCAGGAAGAGGCCTGCAAACATGACTTTAAGTCACATTGCTCCTCTTTCCCTGGCCTGGGAACCTTATTAAATGAATTTGCAAGCCAAGAATTCCACTCAGTATTTACACAGGTCACCCGCTGTGTTCACCCCTGACTTCTTAACCCTGAGTGCTGGGATTGACAATGGCTGTGGGCACTTTCTTCCTCCCAGGAGAACAAAGAGAACTCCTTTTAAGGGTGATGCTCTCATCATCATTTCCACCGGATTCCCAAAGGCACCTTACATCAAAGAAAGGTTAAGAAACCTGAACCAACAGAAGACCCTTAATCCATCTCAGGAAGGTGAGAATCAATCTTATAAAACTTTTAGAGAAAGAGTTTTCCCAGTTAACCCTTTACCATATTTTATCTCCTAATCTTTTGTTTCCATCTATAAATATTCTTAACTTCCATTAGTATTTTTAGAGGCTTATTTTTCACCGGAATGTATCCAAGTCACATTAAAATATCCCTACCTCTTTATAATACAGGGTCACCTATATTGTTCACTGGCAATTATATCAGTGGCCTAATACCACCAACATACTGGGAATAAGCTGTAAGGATACCAGTTCTTAATTCCTCACTGAAGCATTTCAAAGTCTGCAAGTGAAACTCTGGCAGAAAGAAATACAAATGCAGGGCTACACAAGAAAGGAATACAAAATCACAAAATCTCAGACTTGGAAACACACTCAGAGTTCATTATTCTGGGTCATTCACTGCTGGAATTCTTATTATGGTATCCCTAATAAACTGTCATTTATTTATTATTTGATGACTTCCAAAGCAAGGAATCCACTATCACTTAAGCTATTTTACTTTCTTATTACAATCCCTGAGTTCTTAGGAGATTCATCCTTAAAGTCAGGCAAATTCTGACTTCTAGTTGGTCTGCTTGGGACATATGAGCAACTTGGATTTTTTATATATCTAGGTTGTTTTCCAGGAAATTTAAGGCAGTCTCTCTCTCTTTCTCTCTTGCCGGAAACCGGTCCATCCTTGCTGCTTGACACAGTCGCTGCAGGAAAGAAACATCTGCACAGCATATGTTTCAAGGGACCTGGCGTATATAGCATACTGTTCTTAATATGTTTGCTCCCCTTAGCGCTGTGTGTTTTAACCAAGGTCACCTCTCCGAGAAAGGTTGTTTCCCCAGGTAGGAATTTTTCCCTGAAGTCAGGGAGGGGATGCCTCTCCTAGAAAGGTTGTTTCCCCAGGTAGGAATTTTTCCCTGAAGTCAGGGAGGGGATGAAACTCCTTAACTAAGTGCCAGGCAGGTAGTTAATCACTACAAACAATCATGCTTAAGCTACATAATCTTTACTCCCTGGAATGGAGATAAGAAACGCCCTAACCTTTGTAATAGAAATTGACAGGATTAAAATCAACTGGGATAAATACGGATGTAACAAGACAATAAACGGCAGAACTTCGCTGGAGATCCAGACCAGAACTTGGCTGGAGATCCTGGCTAGAGATCCTGGCTAGGCTGCTGATCAACTGAACTCCGTCTCCGTGTCATTCCTTCTTCGCCGACTCCATCCACACCTTTGGGGACCCCTGGACCTGCTGGGGTTGGACTCCGGCTCTCTCTCTCTCTCTCTCTCTCTCTCTCTCTCTCTCTCTCTCTCTCCCTCTCTCTCTCTCCCTCTCTCTCTCATTATGTTTAGAAAGAACTCTATCCTGCTTATCTTTGTTGATCTTTATAGTCCCTGAGTCCCTGACACTGTGCATCGGGACTAGTAAACACCCAGAGAGTCAATGAAACGATGAGTGAATGAGCACATATCTTAGTTGTGCCTCTGCAGTGAGGAGAGATGGCAGGAAATGCCCAGTATCCTAAATATCTGTGCCATCTATCACTGTCTACTGTGATAGGAGTTCCCTAGAGCAATGGTGGGGGCATGGGTTTGGGGCATTTGGGTGGTGATTCTCTATTTGAGGCTGAGTGAAGTGAAGAGAGGGGGGCACTTTATTACTAACCATGACTTGGACACCTATTTCCCATGAGTTAGATGGAGCTGCTAGGCCTGCACTTTTACCTTTGCACTGTTTTACCTTAAAACAAACAAACAAGGCACAGGTTTCTCTTTGCTTCCTTCATTTAGCCAGGGTTTTAAAAATGGGGGTGTCCAGCCCTAACCAGGTAGCTCAGTTGGTAAGAGCATCATCCCTGTGTGCCAATGTTGACGGTTTGATCCCGTAAGGAAACATACAAGAATTAACCAAACAATGAATAAATAAGTAGAACAACAAATTAATATTTCTCTCTATTTCTCTCCCTCCATTTCCCTTTCTCTCTCTCTAAAATTAATAAATAAAATTAAAAAAATAAATTAAAATGCAGATGTCCATTAATTCAAGTACATTTTTCAATGACAGGGGGCTTTAGAGTATAAGAATACAGGGAATACGGTAAAGTTCAATAATGCCTTACCAATTAAATAAATTCAAATTATTTAAAACATGATATGTTTCAAAATATATAACACTCTTAGTTTAGCTGTCGTGGTGGAGTATACAGAATAAGCTGCCAGTCTTGGGAAGGAGGATTGAGTACCAACTATTCTCTTTATTTGCTGTAGAATTTTAATCAAGATATTAAACATTTATGTCTTAGTTTCTACAACTACACCAATCACACAGGGTTATTGTGAGAATTAATATGTGCATTAATTAGAATAGTGTCCATAGAGTATCTGTAATAATAAAAGTGTAATATGCTAATTAGATCGAATAGCCAAATGATCTTCCAGATGTCATTCCAGACATCCTTCCAGATGAAGCTGCAGCGGCAGGGCAGAGACAGAGGTGGTTAGGGGCGATCAGACAGGCAGGCAGAGTGGTTAGGGGTGATGAAGCAGGTAGGCAGAGTGGTTGGGGGTGATCAGGCAGGTAGGCAGGCCAGCAGTTAGGAGCCAGTGATCCCAGATTGCGAGAGGAATGCCCAACTGCCAGTTTAGGCCCTATCTGGTAGTTGGACATCCCCCAAAGGGTCCCGGATTGCAAGAGGGTGCAGGGCGGGCTGAGGAACTCCCCACCCCCATGCAAGAATTTCATGCACTGGGCCTCTAGTATATTATAACAGAGTAATGGAGTAAGACATATTTAGTCTGATATAGTGATTTCTGTTGTGCATTGTCTATATCCAAAGGAATGGCCTGACAGGTACAGGTGTGCCTGTGGGACCACACAAAAGATGCTTTGGGGGGATCTTGCATCTCAGTGCTCTGGAACTATCTTACTTAGAGTTCAGCCACATCACAGTAAGGTCATCCAGTTTAGAGGAAAGGTTGTTGGGCCGATTATCAGGAGATCTGGCTTCTAGTCTCCGCTATGCCATGAATTAGCTGGCTGACCCATGTTAACCAGTTAATCCAGGCCCCAGTGTCCTCAGCCAGCCTTATAACCTCACAGAGACCCTATGGAAAGAAAGATTGAGAACTAAGGGTTCTAATCATACAAATGCCTACTGATAATTAAGAGGTCTAAAACCCATATTGTCTCTTTTCTCTCTTGAAGGCTCTTCAAGACCAAATAGTTCTGGAACTACCAGTTATCCTTCTAGTCTTTCTCTCCCTCTCTCTTTTTTGCTTCCATCATGTTGTTCTGAGAATGAATGATCCTCTTAGTTCTGGTTGGACATTGCTGAGCTCTAAGTAAGATAGTTCCAGAGCACTGAGATGCAAGATTCCCCCCAAAGCATCTTTTGTGTGGTTCCACAGGCACATCTTTCTGTACCTGTCAGGCCATTCCTATGGATACAGACAATGCATAACAGAAGTCACTATCGGACTAAATATGTATTACTCCGTTATGCCATTCAGGCCTGATTCAACTCAGGGGCCCACCAGTTTTGATCCTTGTTTTAGTCCTATACACCATTCTTTATTTTCAATGCTGTAAATAGTTAAAGCAAGATCAAACAAAGAAGAAAGAAAAAAAAACATAAGAAAAATAGTGCAAGAGAAATAGCAAGAGTCTGTGTCTGAGATCTGGAGAAGGCACAGTGTGAGCTGCATATTTCAGGCCCTTTCTTCCATCCCCCACCACAGTTGATCCCTGTGGAGATGGTTCTAAAGCCCAGACACATCTCATTATAACAGAAAATTACAAGAAGAGAAAATACATATTCTTGATGACAGAAAAGTGTCTTTGAGACCATGCTACAGGGATGTCCACATCCTGCCCTCTTTGCCTAATCCTAATAATTGTTTGTTCCCCTAGGATTTTGATCACATAGTGCCTTTGCCATGACCATATCAATAGTCCTCATTCTGTCAATGTGGAATTAAGTTGTGAGGACAGAAAACCTGACTTTTCCTAACAGCTATCAAGACTGGTGTCTTTCACCATCCCGCATATAAGATGGGTTCTAACTCCTTTATCCCTCTAAGCTTCAGATATTCCATTTTGTTCACATTCTTTTCAGAATCTGATTCTCAGAACTCAGATCTGTATCCAGCAAGGTTATGATCCACATATACCACTTCTCTCCAAGATCTAGCAATCCACTTCTATTAATACAGTGTGCATTTATGCTCATTGCTTTAAAGGCCCTTAGTAAAGGAGACTGCAGTAAAGATGGCAGGATATATGTGACAACTGTCCTTCTGAAACTCAGATATGCTTATGATCTTCTTTTTACATTTAATGGATCCCAGCATGGAATAAATAATAAAGAATTACCACTGCACAGTCGAGGCAAATTAAAGTGGATGCATTTGACTTCAGTGATGAACTGACACTGGCCTGGGATATCAATTGCAACTCATAAAGGTCAAGTTCAATCAAGGGTTTGCCTGGAGGTCTGGAAATAAGCTGCTCAGGTGACACCAAATTTAGGTTGAAATTTTGCAGAGTTCTGGAGGGCATATACTAGTACTTTCCCTCTAGCCCAATATGACACTCCATCAGGCTCCCTGCCATCAGCACTCACCATTCTTGCAGAGCAGGACAGCCAGGAAGTCGTGAGAGGAAGAATTGATATAAAGCAAGAGGCTGGGTGCCTGGGCTGTCACAAAGCTAAGTGCGATGTTTTCCTTAGATGGAGCCGGCTCTGCGTAAATGGCTGAGGAAGACTGGCTTAGATTCTTGGTCACTGGGTAGGGTTCTTGAAACAAGTAAGTAACTGAAGTGCCAGCCTCAAAAACAGCAGAAACCTCTGCAAAATAAAAGAGGGGAAAACACACATTAAGATATGAATTGAGTATTCAGGATATAATCATAACTTGTTTATTGTTCCTGTGCATTAGGCACTGTGTGAGGGTTTGTACATTAATTATATAATATGCTTTCCACAATAATTCTCAAGTGGCAGAAATCATCAACCTCATTTCCAAATGAGAAACATGAAGCTTACAGAGGCTAAGAACCCTGCACAGATTGCACAGCTAAAAGAGAGAACTGGGATTTGCATTGTGAAATTCAGGTCCAGTGTAATATATATTTGCAGGATAACTACCATGTGCCAGGCTCATTTTTCAAGAAGCAAAGATAAAATGTCCCTGCCTTCAACACAGTATAGAGAAATTTCACTGGGACCATCTTACTTTTAAAACTGAGATGCTAAGAATTCTGGTTTGTCTTTTTCTCCTGTATCAGGAGGGTTTTAAGTGGGTTCTAAATTACTAAGAGCAGGGCACAGGGGAGGTAGCAGCATTGCTCTGTGGTGTGGGGGAAGGGTGGGAATCCATTGAAATAGAAGAGAGGGACTTATCGAAACAGTGAGGAAGGCATAGATATCTACACTCGTACTCAACTTTCTAAATGTCTAGGAATTGGCATCCAATCCCCAAAAAGAGAAAAGACTTGGGTAAATAGGCCTCATGTGATGCCCTACATAGAGTTCTGCCACCTCTATGAGGAAAGGAAGCATCCCCACACTGATGATATTCAATCAGCAGGAACATGCCAGCCCCAGATCTTACTGTGCAACGTCCTTGCCCCACTGCCAGGTTAGTGGGGCCAGCGTGGGACTGGGCTTCAGCACTGGGCGGGAAGCCTTGCTCAGTTCCATACTAGCTGTGCAGTCCCAAGGAAGCAGATGAACACTGTGAAGACTGTCTTCTCCTTGGGCCAATGGGAAGCACGAATCCTACCTCAACACTTCTTTGTGGAGGAGTAAGTGATGTGTGCAAAGCACTTAAGACAGTTGCCCATCACAGTTTGAACTCATAGGCTCCCAAAGCAGAAGACAATTTAACCAGAACCCATTCCAATTTTCTTCATTTAAAACATCTGCTTATTGACTATATGTTTATCTAAATGCTGAGATATGCTCTTCTCTTAATCAAGGCCACTCTGAAATTCCCTTTCAACTTTGTCTCTGTACAGCAAAGGTTCCTTCTTAGAACAGCATAGCTTAGGTCTGGCAGCAAGCCTCTGTCATAAAAATAGTAAACAAGAAGCTGTATTGACATAATTTCTCTTTCCAACTGACATATGCAATGTTCCTAGTTCCCCATGAAATTATCTCATTGAATTAATGGCACCTAGAACATAATCAAACCTGGCTTTTGCTTTCTAATTTGATTGCTAATTTGTTCTACTTTTGTGAAAACTCTATAATAACCTGCAACTGTGACAACAAAAAAAGAAGGCTGCATATTTATGTATATTGTTAGCAGATAGGGAATACTCTTTTATTTTTGCTAAAGGTTCAGAGAAAGTGTTCACATTTACAAGCAAGTCCTTCTAATTACAAAGATGTGCAGTAGAGACTTGTGACAGTGATGATGTGGGTTAATTATTAGTTTGATTCAAGCACTTTCCTTGAGTGAACTAACTTCCTTGGGGACATTTTGCCTGCCTTTTGAGCTACTGTCTCCTAGTTAACATATAAATGGTTTTCATTTGATGTTTGGTTTGTGTGTGTGTGTGTGTGCAAGTGTAAGTATAATTTAGAGCATTCTGTTATGTAGCACTGGAGGCCCGGTGCACAAACTTGTGCACCAGTGGGGTCCCTCAGCCTGGCCTGAAGGATTGAGCCAAAACCAGCTCTCAGACATCCCCTGAGGGGTCCTAGATTGCAAGAGGGCACAGGCCAGACTGAGGGACCCCATTGGTGCAGGATTCAGGCCAGGGAGGGACCAATGAAGGGCTGCAGGGCATGTCTAGCCATCTCACTCAGTCCCCAATCAGCCAGGCCCCAACAGCAAGCTAACCTACTGGTCAAAGAACCTACCCCCTGGTGGTCAGTGCATGTCATAGCTAGTGGGTGAGCAGCCTTAGCATATTATTAGCATATTATGCTTTGATTGGTTGTAAGGCCGACCAGCTGACCAGACACTTAGCATATTAGGCTTTTATTATATAGGATATTAAATATGGGCATACATAGCACATTTTTTCTTTTTTTTAAAAAAAGTTTGAAATTCAGTATTTTATTTTATTTTATTTATTTTTATTTTTTTATTTATTTTTTATTGCTTACAGTATTACAAAGGGTATTACATATGTGTCCCTTTTTTTCCCCCCGCCCTTAACAATCCCCTGGCCTCCCCTACCCCCCAGTGTCTTATGTCCATTGGTTATGCTTATATGCATGCATACAAGTCCTTTAGTTGATCTCTTACCCCCCTCCCTCCTGACCCCACCCCTCACCGGCCTTCCCACTGCAGTTTGACAATCTGTTTGAGGCTGCTCTGCCTCTGTATCTATTATTGTTCAAAAGTTTATAATGGTCTCTATTATCTATGAATGAGTGAGATCATGTGGTATTTTTCCTTCATTGACTGGCTTATTTCACTTAGCATAATACTTAAGACATGAAATTAAATGAAAAATATATTTTTTAACTAGAAATGTTCTACCAACTTTCTTTCCTCCCTCCTCCCCTATTCCTACTATTTTTATTGTTTATTCAATTGTCAATTTCAACACAAAGAAAATTCAGCAAACCACCTGGATTCTATTATTCTATCAGTTGATTGTATTTTACAATCTAAGAGTTTAAACTCTCTGATTGATTGGCCTTAACATACAAAACCATTGGGATAAATAGAAGAAACAGCTTAACTGTGAAGACGTTCATCAGTGACCGTGGTGCTACTGCAGGACCACAATGCCAATATTAACACACCTTTAGAGCAACTACAAGGTAGAAGGAACTATGCTGATTATATTCTGAGCATACAGGATACACATTAAAAAATAACATTGATGGAAGATAGCCTAGTATATGATGTGTGCGTGACCGAAAATAATTTCCAGATTGGATGTCTCCATGGGCAAGAGTAGCCTAGGAAAATCTGAAAGAGGAGCTCACTGTTGATTAGGCCTTGACGTGTGGAATGAATTAAGAGAAGGAGCCAGGAGACAGGGTGGTGCTGCAGAAGGTGTGTGTCCCTGAGTCAAACATGAGGTCTGACTGACTTGGAAACTGGCTGTACCATTCTCCAGCATTCACAGGATCCCACTTAACCTCAGTTCACTCACATGTAAACAGGGATGAATTCAGTCTTGTGGTGGTATAAAGAGTAGAAGTAATCATGTAAAGTCATAGCACATAGTGGAAACTCAATAAATAATAGCTGGTCTTTATAACTGTGATAGAATAAATTAGAACAACCATGAAGACCAATCCTGGGTAATGAGTTAGCTAGTGCTTACCTAAAAATCAATTAGGTTGTAATTATTTCAGGAAATCATCAAACACACTAAAAATAAATTTAAAAATTGGCACGATATTAGAAATTTGTTCTTAAAATTTTTATAATAATGATTCTATGGATATGTGCTTTTATGAGTCCTTATTATTTAACAATACATATTGCAATATTTCAGATAAAGTGATAAGTTATCTGGCATTTGCTTCAAAATAATAAAGGAAGATAAGTGGATGTGAGCATTTAGATTAAATAAAAATGGCCATGAGTTGATAACTACTGAAGATAAATAATAGGTGCTTGGCATTGTAAAATTCTTCTCTCTACCAGAGTGTACAAATGATATTTTTCTGTAGTAAAAAGTAAAAAAATAACATGTCCTCAGAAAGGTAAATATTAGACAATTTTCAATAGTTTTTTTTTTTTTTTTTTTTTTTTTTTTTTTTTACAATTAGTAAAGTATAAGCTAAAATATACATGTTACTTTTCACTGAAATTCTATTACTAAGGAAATAATTTATTAATGTGCATATCACAGCATTATCTATGTGAAAACACTGGGATAATCTAAAATTCCAAAATATAAGAGCAACTATTTAGTGAGACTCTGTAGGTCAGGCATTATCCCAAGTTCGTTGTGAAGTGCTCACTGCATATGCACCAAAAACCTTTGTGAAGAATTCCTGAATTGTCCACACTTTTTATATCTACAGGTGTGAAAACCAGGAATCATAAGGTTGAGCTACACAACCATTGTCCTACCTGTAGATTGTGGATGAGCCAGAATATGAACACCAGCAGATCTGGAGGCAGGGTCCCACTATTGCTAAGGTAGCTCTGGTGGTAGGATTGCTTAAATAAGCAGGAACCACCAGATGGAATATTATGCAAAATTAAGACTTAAAAATTCATGCACAGGGGTGTCCCTCAGCCTGGCCTGCACCCTCTCCAATCTGGGACCCCTTGGGGTATGTCTAACTGGGTGGTGTATTTGGATGAAGAATATGAATTACAGATTTTTTGCAGACAATCACAGGTGCTTCTGTCCACAATGTTTTTAAATTCCAACAGGAAGTTGGATTAAATAAAGCATTGTTTGGCATAGGGGTTTGGGAAATGTGTCTTAATGAATTAACAAGACTTTTTATAACTGTCATCATCATTTGAGACAGAGCAGGGTAACAATTAAACAACCAGCTCTGGGGAGTGGACTTCCCCAAACCAGTTTTAAGTGCAATAGAGAAAATAAACCCTAGCTACTGGATAGAGAGGCCGTATAGCCTCAGAGGCCAATCCAGAAACACTGCCACCCAGAGGCTGAGCCACAAACTGACTCTTAGGTAAATAAAAATTAAGGCAGTCTGGGACACAAATACGGACTGGGTTAAAATCAGAACTGTGGTTTACAACATGGAGGAACGGTGTATCGCAGGGAAATTTGACACTCTCCTGAATACCTGGCAGGACTAAGGCGAGCCAGACTGAAGAGTAAAAGAACTGAAGGACCTTCACTACTGCAAATTTTTATTTATTTTTTTAATTCTTTTTTCACCTT